TTTTATTTTATTGTCTCTCTTAAGGTCATCTACGGCGACACTGACTCCGTCATGGTTAAACTTGGTGTCACCACCGTGAAGGAAGCCATGGAAATTGGGAGGGAAGCTGCTGAGTGGGTGTCATCCCATTTTACACCTCCCATCAAACTGGAGTTTGAGAAGGTAAAGCATTACTAAAGTGCATTTTTTTATTTTAACATAGCCTCCTAAAGTTCTGCTTCCAAAACTTGATTCCTGAGGAACATTTTCTAGTTAAGATTAAGGGTGAAAGATTGTCATTTAGTAATTTTTGAATGGTACAAAAAAGACCGGCCTCTCTTACAATCTGTGGAAACCCACACAGAAGCTTTTTTGAATAGAAGACCTTTGTTTTAATCTCCACAGGTGTACTACCCATACCTATTGATCAACAAGAAGCGCTATGCAGGCTTGTATTTCTCCTCCAGTCCAGACACGCATGACAAGATGGACTGTAAAGGCATTGAGACAGTCCGCAGAGACAACTGCCCTCTAGTGGCCAACCTCATCAACACTTGTCTACAAAAGATCCTCATTGACAGGTAGCAGATGCTTTTGCTGCATGGAAGTTTAACAAAGATGGCTTCCATTTGCATTTATTTCTAAGTATCAAAACTGCCAGATTGCATTAAAGATGCTTGTTTTTTATTTTTTGCAGAGATCCTCAAGGCGCAGTGGAACATGCAAAAGAAGTGATCTCAGACCTGCTGTGCAATCGCATCGACATCAGTCAGTTGGTTATAACGAAGGAGCTAACGCGTACAGCCCAGGAGTATGCTGGCAAGCAGGCACACGTGGAGCTGGCTGAAAGGTCGGCTTGTCTAATGACCTAGCAGCTTATTTTAGCTAAGCTTTAGAATAATCTGTTTTGTTAAAATAATTAGTTTTTAATTTTATATTTTTTACAGAATGAGAAAAAGGGATGCAGGTAGTGCCCCAAACCTGGGAGACAGAGTCCCCTACGTCATCATCAAGGCTACAAAGGGAGTAGCGGCGTACATGAAGTCAGAGGTGAAGCAGCCTTCTCTCCAACCACCTTGGTTAAGGTGTCGCATTTCCCTTTTGGGACACGTTTAACTTTATTTCTATTTCTTCCAAATTTCAGGACCCAATCTATGTGCTGGAGAACAATATCCCCATCGACACCCAATACTACCTGGAGCAGCAGCTCTCCAAACCCCTGCTGAGAATATTTGAGCCCATCCTGGGGGAGACCAAGGCGGAGAGTGTCCTGCTAAGTATGGAAGCTCCTACAAATAGTCGTACCTTTTGCTTAAGTGGCAGTTTTTCAGAACAGCTAATTAAGGGATTTCTGAAGATTTTTGGATGTATTTAGTCAAAATTGTGATCTAAAAACCTCAAACAAATATACATGAAAGTTGGTGGTTGTAAAATGACATGTGGTTTGGAGTTGCATGAATACACTCTCAGATCGACCATTAATTCTTATAGGAAATGATCTCTAATGAAATCTCAATTTTGAAATATAATTGGAGAAATCATTAAATGGCAGTGGTGTGATTTTTTTTTTTGTATTGTTTTTTTATTCAGAGGGCGACCACACCCGCTGTAAGACTGTTTTGACCTCGAAGGTTGGAGGCCTCATGGCATTTGCTCAGAAGAGAAGCACCTGCATCGGATGCAAAGCTGTCCTCAAGACTGATGGTGTGTTTAAGGCTCTCCATCTTTTAATTTTTTTTTCTATGAATGCCATCTTCAGGTTTAAGTATTTTATTTTAGATAACTACCTCTAGCTTTCTAATTCCACTGCCTTAAGGGATTTTTTTTAACGTGTTGTGTCCCTCCAGCGGCCGTGTGTGATTTCTGCAAAAAGAAGGAATCTGAACTTTATCAAAAAGAGGTATTCAAGCAGCTGAAAGAACTTTATTTTTGTTATTGAATAGAAATGAATTCAATTTATCTTTTTTAATTCTCTAGATCTTCCACCTGAACACGTTAGAGGAGCGTTTCTCTCGCCTGTGGACTCAATGCCAGCGCTGTCAGGGCTCCCTTCATGAGGACGTGCTGTGCACCAGGTATAGACAAACTTTATCCTGGTTTAATCGGAAGTGGGGGGGGTTTAGCTGTAAACGTAACCCTGGTGATGTCCTCTGCTCTGCAGCCGAGATTGCCCAATCTTCTACATGAGGAAGAAGGTTCAGAAGGATCTGGATGACCAGAGCAAGCTGGTGTCTCGATTTGGATGGTGATAAAAAAAACCACATCCTGAATGCGAAGCGGAGCTCTGATCCTCTCTGTATTTTCTGTCTTTTTGTGTCTTTAAAAATGTCTCACAATTTTTCATCTTTTCTATGAATACATTTATTAGTAGTGCCTTTTGTTTGTAAAATAAAGTGAAACCATTAGCTGTTGTCAAGTGATTATTTTCTGCCCAGAACTTAAACAAATGCTCAGTAAACACACTATTAAAGCAGCTTTAGATTCAACCGGTTGCTCAATTAGACCTAAAAACCACAGCTCCTCCTCTGGTTTGATCGCTGACTGTCAAAACCTGTGGTGTACAGGTGCTGGTCATAAAATTAGAATATCATGAAAAAGTAGATTGATTTCAGTAATTCCATTTAAAAAGTGAAACTTGTATATTATATTCATACATTACATACAAACTCATATTTCAGATGTTTATTTTGTTTAATTTTGATGATTACAAATGACAAATGAAAATCTCAAATTCATCATATCAGAAAATTAGAATATTACTGAAGACCAATAAAAACAAAGGATTTATAGAAATGTTGGCCAACTGAAAAGTATGAACATGAAAAGTATGAGCATGTACAGCACTCAGTATTAAGTTGGGCCTCCTTTGGCCTGTATTACTGCAGCAATGCGGCGTGGCATGGAGTCGATCAGTCTGTGGCACTGCTCAGGTGTTATGATAGCCCAGGTTGCTCTAATAGTGGCTTTTAGCTCTTCTGAATTGTTGGGTCTGGTGTATTGCATCTTCTTCTTCACAATACCCCATAGATTTTCTATGGGGTTAAGGTCAGGAGAGTTTGCTGGCCAATTAAGAACAGGGATACCATGGTCCTTCAACCAGGTACTGGTAGCTTTGGCACTGTGTGCAGGTGCCAAGTCCTGTTGGAAAATGAAATCTGCATCTCCAAAAAGTTGGTCAGCTGCAGGAAGCATGAAGTGCTCTAAAACTTCCTGGTATGTGGCTGCGTTGACCCTGGACCTCAGAAAACACAATGGACCAACACCAGCAGATGACATGGCACCCCAAACCATCACTGACTGTGGAAACTTTACACTGGACTTCAAGCAACGTGGATGAAGTGCCTCTCTTCTTTTCCTCCAGACTCTGGGACCTTGATTTCCAAAGGAAATGCAAAATTTACTTTCATCAGAGAACATGACTTTGGACCACTCACCAGCAGTCCAGTCCTGTTTCTCTTTAGCCCAGGCAAGACGCTTCTGACGCTGTCTGTGGTTCAAGAGTGGCTTGACACAAGGAATGCGACAGCAGAAACCCATGTCTTTCATACGTCTGTGTGTGGTGGTTCTTGAAGCACTCACTCCAGCTGCAGTCCACTCTTTGTGAATCTCCCCCACATTTTTGAAGGGGTTTTGTTTCACAATCCTCTCCAGGGTGCGGTTATCTCTCTTGCTTGTACACTTTTTTCAACCACATCTTTTCCTTCCCTTCGCCTCTCTATTAATGTGCTTGGACACTGAGCTCTGTGAACAGCCAGCCTCTTTAGCGATGACCTTTTGTGTCTTGCCCTCCTTGTGCAAGGTGTCGATGGTCGTCTTTTGGACAACTGTCAAGTCAGCAGTCTTCCCCATGATTGTGTAGCCTATAGAACTAGACTGAAAGACCATTTAAAGGCTTTTGCAGGTGGTTTGAGTTAATTAGCTGATTAGAGTGTGGCACCAGGGGCCATCAATTTTGAACCTTTTCACAATATTCTAATTTTCTGATATGATGAATTTGAGATTTTCATTTGTCATTTGTAATCATCAAAATTAAACAAAATAAACATCTGAAATATATGAGTTTGTATGTAATGTATGAATATAATATACAAGTTTCACTTTTTAAATGGAATTACTGAAATCAATCTACTTTTTCATGATATTCTAATTTTATGACCAGCACCTGTACTTTGTTTAGGCCTAAATTGTTTATGCAATTATTTAAGATATTTTTTTCCATGTTTTTCTAACACCTCCTGAAAATGGTCCAATTAGGTCAAAGGCCCTTTATTTAATAAGTATAACGTCTTGCGTGTTTAATATGATTTGAAAAATAATTACTGTATAATTTAAGTATAAACACTTCTGCTTTGAGAGGGACTACAGCTGTGATACGGCATAGATTCAGGCCTAGCAGAGGATGGTGAGGGGAGCTAAGAAGCATCCCCCCATCTTTCTCCAGGGATCTTTCCAAAGCTGCTGCAGGAGCAGAGCTCTGAACATTGTCTGAGTCCTAACAGCCTCTGACACTTTTGAACAGCTGCCATCAGGCGAAACGGTCCCACAGACCGCTGCATAGCTTCCTGCCTCCAAGCTGTTAAAATGCTTAATCATCTGAAGCTATTTTATCTATTTAAATTAATAGAGATCTGTATACACTGCATTACAATGAAATGACTGACTGGATTGATACAGAGAGGCTTTTAAAGAATGCAACTTGAGATGTGATTATCAATTACTGTGCATTTAGCATTTTTATTTATTTTTACACTGGGGGATGCATCAAGTAGTTCTACAAAAATAGAAAACTATTGGTGACAGATCCTTGTATCTTTTTTTTCCTCCTTGTATAAACCAGCCATCCAGCATTGCATAAGATCAGAGAACTGATGAACACTGGCTTCAGCATGAGTGCAACTAATACCATGCACATTTTTCTCACAACATGCCATGACAGTGCTGTAACAAAGTGGCAGCAGACAGTGAGTTTTAAATGCAACCAAACACAGTGTTACACACGATGCGAATATTCAGGCGAATATTCCTGAGTAAACTTTGAAAGTGGCACAAATTCATTCTAATAAACTGAAGTGTATAAAGTGAACCCGGGAAACAAACTCACTAGAAGGATGTACTGCTGTTATGTTTCAGAGGGTACAAAGATCTGTTATAAAGATGTGATAGCTACATTTCTGAAACGAATGGAACAACCTAACCTGAGCAAATGTCCTCCCATTACAAAATATACTGAATTTATTTGTTCTCTTGCAATACAAACACTTAAGTATGATAAAAAAAAAAGTCAAAGTAATTAATGCGATCGCAGACTGAGCTCCTCCCCCCATATTATTGTGCAAAGTGCAGTTCTGCACAGTTTACAGTGAAATCCTTAAGCAGATGAAAATGACAAACATGGCGACTGGGCAACAGTTGCAACAATGAAAATCGATTCCATTTTCACTGACGCCTCCGTGTTGAGGGGCAGTGTGCGAGTCAGGAGGGGGCAGTTAGATACAAGTGCTCTCAGGGATGCTGGCAGTAGACGTTTCGGTATGCTATAGTATAATGCAGCGTCTCGGATTGCTTTTCTTGCTCTTCTTGTTGCTGCGGTTGGTCTCCTTGTATCTTCTTATCTCCCGCACTAGTGAATAGAAGGCTTCTTCTACACCCTGCAAGACCAAAGCAGAAAATATATGTGGCACAGAACCCAGAGGTCAACCAACAACTGGATTGGAAAACTTTCATAGATTTTTCTGCTGGACCTTTAGTCAAAGTTTCAAGCGTAATATAAAAAAAAAAAAATTAATTCTTATTTTTAGCCCAAAATTCCTTTTTGAGTCTAAAACATTTCATAAGAACCAAGAAAATAAGTGTTGAAATATTTACATCCATGCTTATAAAAAAAAACAAAACATGAAAGTCTTTTTGGTTTGAATGTTTTTTTTTGCATCCTTCAAACACATTTTTTAATCAGATGCTGCATCTATCAGTAGTGGAAGGAAATAGTGTGATATAAAAATGTGCACATTCAACATGTATAATTGCAGGGTGATTTGTGGAAGGTGTCTGAGGTGTGACGTTTGTGCTTCCAGAGCTGTCCAGGTGGATTAGGCCCAACCTAAATGCCTATGATTATTTAAGAGAAATCTGGAATTTCATTCATTTTAAACCACAATTAATTGATGGCTGCACAGTGTGTACTGTGGGTAACACTGCTGCCTTCCAGCAAGAAGGTCCTGGGTTCAAATCCCAGCCTGGGGTCTTTGTGCATGGAGTTTGCATGTTCTCCCGATGCATGTGTGGGTTCTTTCCAGGTACTCTGGCTTCCTCCCACAGTCCAAAAATATGACTGTTGGGTCCATTGACTTCTCTAAATGATCCTTAAGTGTGTGCGTGTATGGTTGTATGTCTGGAACGACTTTGATGAATGAACCTTTCAATTATTGTTCACTTAGATGAACTGCAGGTGTGCACGTTTCCACCAACCTGTCTGGTTTTAGCTGAAGTCTCAACGAACGGCACGCCGTAATTCCGCGCCAGATCCTGGGCCGTCTTTGTCTCCACCGTGCGGGAGCTTAGATCGCTCTTGTTCCCCACCAGCACCATGGGAACACTGTCACTGTCCTTCACCCGGTTGATCTGCTCTCTAAAATGACAACATGTGAATAAAACATAAAAACCTCAAAGAGTCAGAGGCTGTCCTTGATGAGCAGGTGTTTTCAGCCACCTATTTGGGTCAGATACAGAGGCCACATTGAATATAAAGTTCACGGCAACAGAGCAGACAAATCTTAACTCAAAAAAGGAAAAAAAAAAAAAAACTTAGAGGCAGCACAGCTACAGGAGTTGTCCTAAATGGCCTCATTTTAACCACACTCAGCTGTTTCAGCGATAAACGAGGACAGTTCCTGATCAGCAGGAAATAGCCCTGATAGCTGTGTTGTCCTACACTAACCAGGCGTCTATCTTACGGTAAAGTGTGACTCAAACCACTGAGTACTAGTATGATGTCAGATCTAGCACAATTTCATTAGAAAATATATAATTTAGAGCCGCCTTTGTTTTTTTTTTTCTTAGTCATTCTATACCTGTAAAGATGAACATCCTCAAAGGACTTTGTGTTGTTGATGGCAAACACACAGAGGAAACCCTCTCCAGTCCTCATGTACTGGTCCCTCATGGCGCTGTACTCCTCCTGACCTGCAGTGTCCAGGATGTCCAGCAGACATGTCTCCCCGTCAATCACCACCTGCTTTCTGTAGGAGTCCTGCAGCACAAACAGCAATGTTCAGGTAGACAGTAGTAGCATCCCAGCAATTCAAGGCCCTGCATCATGCTTCAACAGGACGTCAGTGATTTACATCTGAGTGACGGGTGAATTCAACTGATAGTGTATTTCTGATGAGCTCCAAAAAGCTTTTCCGGAGTTACCATGTCCTGCATGACAAAGATTATCCACAGCATATTCTAAGTGGGCTGCAGACTTTAATCTGTCAGACCCCGACTGATCTAAGTGGGATAATTTCCAGCTTAGAAGAAAGAATTGGTTTGGATCCGTGAAAATATGGCTTGTGTTAATTATGCCACTGTTATGAGGCGCGATGTCCTTTGCATCTATTTCACAGTTATGAATTTGCAGCATCTCTGCTTAAGAAAAACAGGATCTACATAAAGATGGGCATGTTCAATCGCAGTAAAATTAACCTTTAAAAGACTGACGCCAGAGCCCCCCTCCCACTGGTTCCCTTCCCACTGGTGGTCAACTGGCTTAAAAAAAAAAAAAAAAAAGCTCCTACATTTTCCTTTACTTCCCAAAAACACAAATTCAGCTCTTTAGAAATATTATAAGTATAATATTTTGTTGGTGGTATTTGGTTAATATTTGTTGGTTGTCTGATATAAAATCAGAAAACCACAGCCTGGAACATACATGCAGATACTAATATTAAAGAAACTGTTTTAATACCAGTGCACATCTGACAAGCTAAAGGGAGAAGAACCTCTGTTAAAAACATTCAAATACAGACCAGCTATATGTGAAGATCTAGCAAACTGCTAGCGTCAAATCAATTGACTTTAGCTTCAGCATCATAGATTCGCTACTACCAAGATGCTACTGTGTTTTCACTCAAACCAACCCATGCCTCATATCTACATCTGGAAATTCCAGTCAAATAAGAGTCATAAAAAGAGTACTGAAAAAGAAACTGCTGCAGTATATAACTGAATACTTAAGCTGCTCATTATTAGGCTGAGACACGTCCTCAGAATTATGTCCTGCTTGTAGGAAGCGCAAAAAATTATGATTCCAGTCACACAAAATAAGAAAGTGTGTGGAAACAAAAGGAACACATTTGGTTTCTCTTATTGTAGCAAACAAAAAAAAAACAAAACAAAAAAAAACACATTTTAAGACTTGTCAAGATTTGTCAAGCTCTGAGCAGCATGTCAACAACCCAATAATAGAATATTTCCTTATAAGATGGCCTGATTGATTCATAAAGAAATATTAATTCAATTCAGTTTATATTTATATTAGGGCTGCAACTAACGATTATTTTAAAAATCAATGAATCGGCCGATTATTTTTTCGATTAATCGATGAATCGGACAAAAAATATTTTTTATATTAACCTCTTTATTCCAAAATAAACATTTTAGACAGAACAAACAAGCACACAAGTACAGGTTGCTCATTAACTGTACTGGTGCAATATGAAAAATAAATGTTAGTGTTAAAACTACGCAAACTTACATGAGAAATGTAGCTGTACATCCACAAAATATAGGCTACTTTGTTTCATAAAGTGCAAAAAAAAACATTTTTGTTTTTAAAAGCCCCTAAGGGGTTCAAACAATAGGGCCCCCCATTTCAACAAATGAGTTTTTTTAGACTAGAAGAGCTCTGCCTTTTAACCCATTTAGGCCGGGAAAGCATTACCGCATTTCTACCATTCAAGCCGGGGGTGCTGTTGCGTCATTCTACCATTGACGCCGGGAGAGCATATAAGTCAAGCAAGAAGAAAGAAGTTTTTTTCAAGCAAACATGGAGGAGTTTGACAGAGAAGAGTTGTCGGAAGGCAGTGATTTTGAGGAGTGTGTCGGCTTTGATGACGGTATAGATGAAATGATGACTTTGAACGCGCTGAACCAATCGAACTACCACCGCAATGCACGGAGTGTTTTCAACCGCACACCTGGAGTGAAAGTTGATTTGCCTGCAGACGCCACACCGCTGCAGGCATTTGAGCATATTTTTAATGAAGAACTTTGGATGCATCTAGTTACCGAGACGAATAGGTACAGTGACCAAACAAACCAAACTCCAACAAGAGCAAAGATGGCAAAGTGGTCACCCGTGACTGTGACGGAGATGAAGACATTTATTGGGCTGTGTATGTAAACCTCTCTTCAGGACGCAGTTCCCCCAAAATATGTCCCGGGACAGATTTGTGGCCATCTGGAGGTAGGTTGTATGCAATTTATAACACAGACATATGCATTATTATGCATAATAATACTGTTAATAAGTAATCATCAGATAGTTATTTATGTAATGTTTGTTCTTTATTTTGAAAACGTTTTATATTGCACATTCTCAATGAAGACATGATCACATATGGAAAAAATAAAAGGTTGAATTTTTTTTTTTTTTGATTACTGCTTTTCACATTTTTTTTTTGGAAGAATTTCAAAGATAAAATATATTTTGAGTTCTATCTGCTACAGAAGCTGAGATATCAATAATTAAGGCGTTGACACAGTTGCTGAATTTACAGAAAAACTTCAGGTTTTAGGGGTATTTTTTAAAATCGGCCATAGGTTTTTAAGGTGTTTTTTCCAGGCGTTTTAGGCCTAAATGGGTTAAGACAGGAAAGTATAGCAGTTAAAGTTGCTACTTGAGAAAATACTGAACCATAGAGATAAAAATAGCCCTGTGATTCAAATTATAAATTGTATTTGGAATAAAAATGAGAGAACTAGGGGTGCTAAAAAACACATCCTCCAAAGACTCCAATTTACATGGGAATGTGGCATATAATTAATTGACATATTACTGATCTTGCTGGATTTTAATCTGCTTTACTTCCATAAATTGCAGGATCTTCTTTACTTTATCTTTACCAGAAGATTTAAACTTTAAAAGCCTTGCCCTCATAATTTGCAAGTTAATTTATTTATAAAGAAAATATAAACGCTGCTTAAGCTAATTCAAATGAAATTAAAAGTAAAATAAGTAGCCAACTTTATCACTGTCTGTAACCTACTAACACGGTAAGAAAAGCATCACCTGAGAAACTAACGTTACGTTTCCCCACTTTAAAATGAAACAAACATGGTCGCTCACCCTGCTGATCAGCTCTCTTCACTGCCATTGAAGGCTCCAATGTGTTTTCTTTTCAGGTGCTGCATCATAACAGTGGTGCTTCCACGCCATGTTAATTTGTTTTTACAAAAGTTGCATGTTACGACTTTTTTCGCTTTACAAAGCGCAGGCTATTTTAATTATTGTGATCAATTTGCGCCGTCAATACCGGCGCATGAGCGCTTCATTTGCAATCCTGCGGCTCTGACTGCAGCGCTGAGAGGGACTCCTGCGGGAGCGCCGCGGGAGAACAGGGTTGGGATGGGGCAGGCGCCCCACGGCAATGACGACAACGGCGGATGACGTATTAATCGCGCGACACAACTAATCGATAATGAAATTCGTTGCCAATGCTTTTAAAAGTCGATTTTTATCGATTTTTTATCGATTCGTTGTTGCAGCCCTAATTTATATAGCGCCAATTCACAACACATGTCATCTCAAGGCACTTTACAGTTCACCAGATCATCCAGTCAAATTGATTTAAAGTTTTCTTTCTAAGGAAAACCAGTTGATTGCATCAACTCATTAACTCGAATACAATTCCTCACACTAAGCATGCTTGTAGCGACAGTAGACAGGAAAAACTCCCTTTCAACAGGGAGAAACCTCCAGCAGAACCAGGCTCAGTGTGAGCGGCCATCTGCCAAGGCCGACTGGGGTTCAAGGAGACAAAAAACAGCTGTAAAAGTTGGCCTGGTCCAGGAAACACACAGACAGGCAGACGAGCTCCAAGCCAGCTCCCATGTCAGAGGATGAAGAGTGCACATCCAGCCAGTCACAGTCAGAGAAACAGGACTACACTGGAAAACAAGTCTATCTCCAACATCTATTAGAAAGGCTAAGGGGTGCAAAACAACTAACTTCAATGTCTGAAGTATTTTGTGTAAAGATCAAGTAATTCTGGCATAAATTAACAATCTGTAATAATCTAGTAATGGTTGAATCTACATGACAGTAAAGTTGAAATCCAGAAACAATTGAATAGATTTACATAAGATCAAAATTCTAAAGGGGAATCATCATTCTGTATTAATAACCATTATTTTACATCTTCATTTCTTAGTTTTCTCCTTTTTGCATCTGTAGCATTTATGACAAATTAAGACAGCAGGGACTTTAAAGAGCCAGGCAAGCATAAAACTCTAACACACCCACACATTTTATAGCAAATAAGGCTTCCTGGAGCAGAGTCCTCCCTGTGATCAGCGGTTTCTCACCTCGATAGTGGGATCATATTCGTCCACAAAGTGGTTCTGGATCAGCTGGATGGTGAGAGCGCTCTTCCCCACACCTCCAGCCCCGACCACCACAAGTTTATACTCAGTCATACCTGCATTTAAAAAAAAAGAAAAAAAAGGAACGAATCAACAGGTGGACTCAGTTAAAACTGAAAGCCACGATTTCCCAATCTCCTAATCCAAAGAGTATCAGGTGATCATTAACAGATCTATCCTCCACCCCCCCTCTCCTCTCCTCCCTAAACTGACATGGCGAGGAGTCTAACCCAGATTTATCTCCCCATAAAGACGCTTTTCTCTAAGTTAAGACTCTTGTATCTCTGCTAAGTCGAGGCGAAAGAGCGCTGGAAGAGAGAAAACGCCTTCAGCTACGCTTACCTGTCCGTGCGGCTGTGTAACGCTGGCGAATGAAAGTTGAGTTTCCGACAGATAAATGAGATTAGCTTGCTACATAACGTTAGCAAGATTATTTCCTTATTCAAAACTGGTTGAAAAAAAACTTAAGTGTCTGACAACTTATCTCTCAGAAAAAAAATGAGAATGTGACTATTCGCGCTGGACAATCTTAAAGGTTAGCGGAAGAATGTTCGACTTTACACAAATATCTACGGGAAAGAAAATGTAGTAATTCCTACTTTTTCTCAGCTGAGGTTCATTGTAAGTGAAGCGTTAATCCCCTTGTAAAGCAACCAATAGAAATGAGGTATCAAAGATAGGCTTCCCTCTTGTCCAATCACAATAAAGCTTTGGTTTATAGCCCCACCCATAGACAGCAGAAGTACCCAATCAGCAACAGTTACATCTTAATTTGGGCGCGGCTTCTCCAGACAGTTTTTTCCCTTTCTTGCAGATCCTTCTCTTTAACTTCGCCCTCTGATGATGAGCTTTACGTAACGGCGTCGCGCTTCATCTTTTTGAACTTGCAAAATAAAAAATTTAAGTATTTTTCTTTACTTAAAAGCGAGCGTCTTTTGATGGTTTATTTTGAAAAGTTATACCCGGGATTTGCACCGTGATGTTATGTTTTTCTTAATTTAAACAATGTATCCCGAGACGACTGAGCTCTTACTGCACTCTGATGGTAACTTTGGATAATTGCAACTTTATATTTACATCATTATATGTAGCGATAATAACCTTCATAATAAAGATAACCTGTTTTTATATAATAAAAAAAACTTTCAACAAAATAGATAAGAAAATAATCACTTCTCCCTTAGATCATGAAAACAAACAAACAAAAAATAAATAAATAAATAAATAAGAAAATATTGAACTAACTTCCCATTTTGTCAGCAGTGTTTTGGCTTATTTAAGCCTTTCAAAAGAGAAAATAAAGAGGGTTCGTTTTTCAAAGTCCTATTTTACCATGTCATTTTTACATCTAATAATATTGTTTATGTAACAATTACATTTGGTAATTTTATTAAGGATACCCATGAGCTGTTGCCATGGCAAACTGCTAGTCTTCCTGGGGTCCAGATAAAAAATATATATACAAAAGCACAGTCACAAAAATATTACATTTCCAAAAATGTCATTTCTTAAAAGATGGTTTAGAAATGATCAGAGAATGCACAAAAGAACAAGTAAAATAAATCAGCCATTAAAAAAAGTTATATTCATGACACTAAATGTGTGATCAACAAGTTCAATAGTTCAATATTGACAGTTTTTTCAAAATCTTTTTGAAGCTAAATATTAAAATCTAGAGCTAAATTTGGAACATTTAGCTCTAGATTCAGGCAACATTTCCAATCTGTTTCTGTGCAGTTTTGATAAGCCTGTTTTTAATTGTGTCTTTGGTTTTTTTCGTCTTAGCTGACAGAAATGGATTTCTGCTGCTTTAGCTGTTCTCTTCAGGGTTTGAATTGTGTGTTCAGAACTGTCCCTTTTACTTTTGGTTAAGAGTGGATAAGTCAGGTATTGTTGCTTTTCTGTCATCTCAAACCAGTCAGCCTAATCTCCTCTGACTTCTAATATGTTTCCTCATGGTCATGTTATGAACCAAGTCACCCTAATCTCCTCTTCTTTCTCCCCTGATCAAAAGCTCAGTTTAACCAAGGGAATCAATAGATTTTTCTAAATGGAACATTTTATCTTTATAGACAAAGATCTTTTTTTGTATTAGTTCTGATTTGTACCAGTTTCTACAAAACTTTTTGGGATGTTTCAGCATCCTCTAGTGGTGACGTTAAAAAAATAAACATTATCCTGATAGCTTTGTGACAAAAACATAAATTAGTGTAAATGAGAGGGATACTCATCTGTATGTAATGGTTATCATTGTTAGGATTTATTATCAAATCATGAAATCAAATGAGAACCCATTTGCACTTCTACACCTCCATCATTGAGTCCATCCCCACCTCCTCCATCGTCATCTTATACGCTGGGGCCACCACCAAGGACAAGGGCAGACTGCAATGTGTCAGCCGGTCTGCAGAGAAGGTGAGTGGTTGCAATCTTCCATCTTTTTAGGGTCTGTACGCCTCCAGGACTCTGGGGCGTGCAGGGAAGATTGTGGCTGAGTTCTCACACCCCAGCAACAAACTAAGTCACTTCCCTCTGAAAGGAGACTGCGGTCCATTAAGACCAAAACCTCACACCACAAGAACGGTTTCTTCCCATCTGCTACCAGCCAATGCAATATATACTATAGCTATATACTATATATTGCATATAGTATATTGATTGTTTTATGTTGTATATACAGGTGCTGGTCATAAAATTAGAATATCATGAAAAAGTAGATTGATTTCAGTAATTCCATTTAAAAAGTGAAACTTGTATATTATATTCATACATTACATACAAACTCATATATTTCAGATGTTTATTTTGTTTAATTTTGATGATTACAAATGACAACAAATGAAAATCTCAAATTCATCATATCAGAAAATTAGAATATTACTGAAGACCAATAAAAACAAAGGATTTATAGAAATGTTGGCCAACTGAAAAGTATGAACATGAAAAGTATGAGCATGTACAGCACTCAGTATTTAGTTGGGCCTCCTTTGGCCTGTATTACTGCAGCAATGCGGCGTGACATGGAGTCGATCAGTCTGTGGCACTGCTCAGGTGTTATGATAGCCCAGGTTGCTCTAATAGTGGCTTTTAGCTCTTCTGAATTGTTGGGTCTGGTGTATTGCATCTTCTTCTTCACAATACCCCATAGATTTTCTATGGGGTTAAGGTCAGGAGAGTTTGCTGGCCAATTAAGAACAGGGATACCATGGTCCTTCAACCAGGTACTGGTAGCTTTGGCACTGTGTGCAGGTGCCAAGTCCTGTTGGAAAATGAAATCTGCATCTCCAAAAAGTTGGTCAGCTGCAGGAAGCATGAAGTGCTCTAAAACTTCCTGGTATGTGGCTGCGTTGACCCTGGACCTCAGAAAACACAATGGACCAACACCAGCAGATGACATGGCACCCCAAACCATCACTGACTGTGGAAACTTTACACTGGACTTCAAGCAACGTGGATGAAGTGCCTCTCTTCTTTTCCTCCAGACTCTGGGACCTTTATTTCCAAAGGAAATGCAAAATTTACTTTCATCAGAGAACATGACTTTGGACCACTCACCAGCAGTCCAGTCCTGTTTCTCTTTAGCCCAGGCAAGACGCTTCTGACGCTGTCTGTGGTTCAAGAGTGGCTTGACACAAGGAATGCGACAGCAGAAACCCATGTCTTTCATACGTCTGTGTGTGGTGGTTCTTGAAGCACTCACTCCAGCTGCAGTCCACTCTTTGTGAATCTCCCCCACATTTTTGAAGGGGTTTTGTTTCACAATCCTCTCCAGGGTGCGGTTATCTCTCTTGCTTGTACACTTTTTTCGACCACATCTTTTCCTTCCCTTCGCCTCTCTATTAATGTGCTTGGACACTGAGCTCTGTGAACAGCCAGCCTCTTTAGCGATGACCTTTTGTGTCTTGCCCTCCTTGTGCAAGGTGTCGATGGTCGTCTTTTGGACAACTGTCAAGTCAGCAGTCTTCCCCATGATTGTGTAGCCTATAGAACTAGACTGAAAGACCATTTAAAGGCTTTTGCAGGTGGTTTGAGTTAATTAGCTGATTAGAGTGTGGCACCAGGGGCCATCAATTTTGAACCTTTTCACAATATTCTAATTTTCTGATATGATGAATTTGAGATTTTCATTTGTTGTCATTTGTAATCATCAAAATTAAACAAAATAAACATCTGAAATATATGAGTTTGTATGTAATGTATGAATATAATATACAAGTTTCACTTTTTAAATGGAATTACTGAAATCAATCTACTTTTTCATGATATTCTAATTTTATGACCAGCACCTGTAGCTATAGATTCTGTATATTGTGTTGTCTGCACCATCAACATCAAGTCAAATTCCTTGTGAGTGCAAACCTACTTGGGAATAAACTTGATTCTCATTTGATTGATTCCAGCTTTGGTCAGTTGGCAAATTGATTTTAAAGAAAGATGATACTTTAATGTAACTTGAAAAAGTTGTTATTGCTATGAAAATTATCAGATCCTACTGCATAAAAAACCCATAATGTTACAACTTTGGTAAAGAAGCACAATTTTGACTCAATCCAAAGTGGATATGTGTTCCTTTATACCCAGGTTAAAGATACCTTATGTCCCACAGTGGGTTGAGCTGCAGTGGACACGCATACACACAGCGTGCCCCACCCTCTTCCCCGTCATCCTCACTTCCCTTGTCTTTGACGTCCATGTTTCTGCCTCACGCTTCCCACTGAGTGCATCTGCTCTCCGATCTAATCTTTGCCTAAAATCACAGCAATAATCCTGGATCCATCTGTCCTGATAGAGACAGAGCAGGAGAGAGAGAGGGACAGAGAGAAATACATTGTGCTCTCAATGTAAAAAACACTCATCCAATGCATCAGTGGTGAAGGATAATGATTAACAATGAAACGATTGTGCTGAAATCATCTGAAGTCGCTCCATTCTTTATTTTACACGAGGTTTATCTCACATTTACATTTTTTTTATACATAAAATATTTCCCACATTTCTGCGAGCTTAAATTCCTTTACGTTCGAATCTCACCCAACAACCACACATTTCATCAAGAGAGGAGAGAAGAACATTTGAACAGCCATAAAGTTTGACAAAGAAGAAAATCCATTAAAGTTACACTGATACGACATATGGAAATAAAACCCTACGCAGGAAATAGTCATTCATGTCTTAAATACATTACTATCAAAACAAAATCAGATCCACCCACTTATGAACAATGATTTGTCAACAGAGGCCACCAACATATGTCACTGTTATGCCCTCACATCTTCCCTAACATTCTTCATGGATCTGAGAAGCAGTCATTCATACATTTTTGTTTTATTTGAAAGATGTTACTTCAGATTGAAGCTGGAGCAATCTTTGTTTTAGTGCTTGCATTCACCATTTTATGAATTCAATCCAATGCACTCACCAGATTATGCAGTTCAATGCTTCCTCTGCAAGAAATTCCTGGCATTTAATGCACCAATACAGGGACTAATGCTATATAATGTAAAAAAACAAACAAAACAACAACAACAAAAAAGTGAAATTTTGCACATTTACTGATCAAAAATGCTTTTATATTCCTTCAATTGGCAGTAGTGTGTTCTCTCTTAATAGACATCATTGTGTCCCCATTCCTTCTGCATGTTTGACCTTTTCTGTGCATGGATGAAATCAGCACTCTGTGTGCTGTTGGGTATTATGAGTAAAACAAAGAACAGTCTGGAAAGTTGCAGAATAACTGCGAATCAAAGCATGCTCACCGCACAATGTTTCAGCACTGGCACCTGACACAACTGCAGCCTTAACGCCATGCACAACAGCTGACCCAACGCCACAAACACGACGGAAATAAAATGAGAAGGGGCAGAGACATGAAATCAAAGGCGAGGACAGGACAGAAGACAGGATGCCACAGAAACAGAAAGTCTTTACTGCAACAGTTCATTTTAAAGGGGGTCGTATATTTATTTCAAGTGAGCTCTCTCTAGAGCACAGGTGTCAAAGTGGTTCCAGAAACGGTCATGTGGCTGCAGGTTTTCTTTCCAACCAAGCAGCAGCACACCAGACTCCAGTCATCTCATCAAGTGTGCTATTCCTTGGTTGGAAAGAAAACCTGCAGTCCCATGACCCTTTCTGGAACCACTTTGACACCCCTGCTCTAGAGTATAATGATTGTATAACAAACAATTTAATTAAATTGTCCATTAACAATTTTGTTTTTTAAATTAGTTTGGTTCCAGGCATGGATGCGATTTTACAAAATGCCCACACATTTTTCAGTAGGGTCAAAATATTCGCCATTACCCAAACTTGTATCTGCCTGCTTTATCTCCATGCTTTGTTCTCAATAGCTGTCCTGTTCAGAAATCCATTTTTCATTAAGTTTTAACCAACTGGATGAAGTGAAGATTAGGGACTTGTTGGTAGTTTTTCATTATTCCACCTTCATTGGGGTAATAGACCATACTGGGGCTAAAATCCATCCTCTGCATGATGTTGCCACCACCATGCTGAAGAGCTGATACAGTCTTCTGGAAAGCCTCACATTGAGTCCTCCAAAAACACTAGTCTTTGTTTCCTATGACTATGAAACAGTTTACCCTGTTAATGTGGATAGGTGCATGCTTCACATGAATGAAGAAATGTGCAGACATTCTTGATAAGAATCTGAGAATGAGATGAGTGGATTTTCAGGAAGGAGAATATTCCTTAACACAGAACCAAGGCAAGTCATAACTGGTTTCAGACAAAACAAACACATAAAACAGTAAAAATACAAAAAAGGCCCGACTTTATACTTAAAATTACCAAAAGAAGTGAAGATCAGAGTGTACAGAAAAAAACATCCTACATTTTCCAGATTTGAAGAAATTATGATCATAGCATGGGAATAATTTCACTGTAAAAGAGACATGCAAAGTGCCTCTTGTGCTTCAAGTGCTTAAACATTTATTTAAATGGATTTCATACTTTTTTCCCCCTGTACCATTTTGATTTTTTACCCATTATTTCATTGGTGGACCAACATGTTTCGAACATCTGTTCTGAATTTCAATGACTGCAATTATTTTAAATATGCATACTGTAAAAAAACCTTGAGGTATGTCCAGTACCTTCTACATGCACAACACAGGCATAGTGGTTGCACACACATACATATCAGTAGGTTTCCACTAAATTAAGATAATATTTACTGTATATGCATAGGCTGATTCAAGCCAACCCCAACCCACCCTCTGTGACTGATATAGTTGTTATTTGATCTGAAACTGTAATATTTCATTGTGTAATTAATAAATAAAACACTGTTTTATGACATAAAGTGAAAATTGTAAATATAAAATACACTTCTCACAAATAAGAATTTAATGAGAACATACCCCCACTGTCTCTCACACAAACTCCTCTGTGATGTTGTGGAAACAGAACTCCAGACCTTTTACCATAAAGTCAGGAGCAGGGAGAGAGTTTGATGGAGGAGTGCAAATGAAAACTGTACGTTTCTGCAGATTCACCGCTGCATTCATACTCAAAACACACACACGCACACAAACACAAATACTTACAACATAGCACATCCAGGCTCTTGACATGTGCAGCTGTAAATGTCCTTTAAGTACCTCAGCAACTTTCTTACAATCCCTTTCCATAAACAATCTTCTAATTTATTGGATTATTTAAAAAAGAAAAAAAAAACTGAATGACTTCAGTCTTCTATGTCAGCTCCATTTCTTTCCCTCCAGTAAACATGTAGGAGTTGCGTCCCGGTGGTTGAACATACTCCTCAGACTTATCCCAGTCTGTAACCCATCCTGCTCCCCCGCCTCCTCCGCCGCCGCCTCCTCCATTTGACCCGACCACAGGCTGCCCCATGGCCCCGTACTGGCCGCCTCCATGATAAAGCTCCTCCGTCTCATTGGCCAGTTCATCCTCATTGATTATACCGCATTTCTCCTCGCTTGTGTCTTCTATGTCAGCCCACCACTGCTTCTCACCCGATGCAAAGATCCCTAAGTGAGATATGAATTTAAATTCAATTCAATTCAGTTTTTTTATATAGCACCAGTTCACAACACATGTCATCTCAAGGCACTTTACAGAGACAATTCGTCCAGATCAGACAGCCAAATTGATTCAAAGTTTTCTATCTAAGGAAAACCAGCTGATTGCATTGACTCATTGACTCGAAGGCAATACCTCACACCAAGCATGCTTGTAGCGACAGTGGAAAAGAAAAACTCCCTTTTAAAAGGGAAGAAACCTCCAGCAGAAACATTCTCAGTGAAAGCGGCCATCTGCCGAGGCTGAAAGATTCAGCTTAAATCACCATTTCTTGACAGATGTCGTTACCTACCATAGAAAATCACTCCTCCATAGTGAACAAGAGATGCTATGAGGAAAACGCCCTGCCACTCCTCACGTGTCTGCAATTATAAAAAAGATTGAGCTTAGTGTCAAATTTGACCTAAATCATTCGGTTTATTTAAAAAAAAAAAAATCAACCACCTTGTGTTTGGTCATGGCCCCCACAATGAGAGGACACACCATTCCTGATAACGTTCCAACTCCGTTGGAGATTCCCATCAATATGCTGGCATAGCGAGGAGCGATATCCAAATGATTGACATTAAATCCTTTAAGATCGAAAACCAACAGCAGAATATCAACTTTGATGGGGTCAAAACAGTCCAGATACTTTCACATTTATTAACATACGTATGTTCTAAGGACAATTAAAAGCCTTAGTAATTAATAAATCATTTAATAAAAAAAAATGAAAGTATCTTCATTTTCTGCAATTGCATAATTTTGACATAATTGACTCTTTAAAAATGTAATCAGCAATGAATGAATGATGCATATGTGGAAAGATAACCTATGACTGCTGGAAAGCATGTTAGAAGATCTATGATGCTATGTGCCTGTTTCTCCTCTGAAAGCCCAGAGAACCATGTTGGTTTTTGTAGCCCCATCAATGAAATACTAAACCATTTTAGATATGAATTGAGAGATCAAAGATAATCATCCATTAAACTTTTATTTATTTTTTGACAGAATACTGATCTAACCAACACAAGGGAGATCAACAGAGACAGGTTCTGGAAGCAAAATAGAAAGAAATCAGGAGTGAAAGATGATGCTGCTATAGTTAAAGGAAATAAAAAGAAACATATACAGAGTGTGAAACAGGCTGATATGTCTCAGGGAAACAAAGTTATACTTATTGCCTTTTTTGCTGACTTGTAAAGCCTTTGAGAAGACTTGGGCATAATGCATAAATTATAAATGTACATTGACTTTTGGAGTCTGCTCAGTGAGAACCTCAAACTGAAGGAAAGTCCCATAAGAGTTCTGTGAGATATAAACTTTCAGCTCTCTCTGATAAAACTGCAGCTTTAAAAAAACAGCCACATAAAAACTGTATAAAGTTTAAACTAAAAAAAAGTTGTTGTTCTCCACAGGAAAACTTCTTATAATTTCTTTTATTTTTTTTGACTCATGCTGTTCCAGACTTGTGAATGAGCAAAGAGGCCGCACAGCTGTATCAGTACATCAATGTTACCAAATTTCCTAATCCTTGTAATAGTAATAATTTGTAAACAGAAGGGCATAACTAAGATCTAAAAGAAAACAATTTTGTTAAGTTTTTAAATCCTACAAATTTTAAAAACCTTTATTTCATTGTTGTAAGGATTTCTGAGGACCAGTAAACTGAAATGTAAGTCTCTGCATCTTGATCTCACCGTATTTTGAAAGAAAGATGTCAAGTCTTTTTTCAGGTTGTTTTTTGAATTTGTTTTCAAGAGCTTATTCTGATCAATCTCATTTAACATGGGAAAGAGAATTGATCTCCTACTGGTGTAACAGTTCCCTTTCCAACATTTGGTATTCTGATTCTTCACAGTTCCCCAGTGGAAGGTACTTAAATATTTCTACACAATGAGCCAATAGTGCAGAGAAGGAGGAATGATAAACATCAAATAATAAATAAGCCATTTAAGTTGTGTTTTTTTTTTTTTGTTTTTTTTTGTGTAGACCTATGCTAACTTTATAAAGACAGAGATAGACCTAATGAGAAGCCAGGATGGTTTCTGGATCTGATGATAAGAGAAATCAGTTTGCAGTTTGGTGGATAAATTCTATGAATCCATTTTCCATCATGCTTATCCCTGCTGGGGTCGCAAGGGGAACTGGTGCCTATCTCCAGCTGTCTATGGGCGAGAGGCGGGGTACACCCTGGACAGTCACCAGTCTATAGGTTTATACATTCAATTACACAAATAGGTCCCCCTAAGTAGCTTCCCTGTTCTGGTAGAAAAAAAACTATCCCTGCAGCATGATGCTGCCACCACCATGTTTCATCTTGCATCCCAAATTTAGTTCAAGCTGGGGTTCAAGCTTATATAGACCATTAATCTTCCACTATATAAAGCATTTTACACATTGGCCACTTTGGAGCATGTCTGACCAGAGCATCCTCTTCCACTTGTCTCCTGCATCATCTGTGTGCCTCATTAAATGGAGGTTTTTCTAGTCTTTTTTTGACAGTGTTTTGTTTTTGCTTTTTCCCTGTAAAGGCCAGAGGTCTGGAGTCCTAGGCTAATTGGTGTCTTGTTATTTTAACTGAGCTCCGGTTCTCTGCAGCTCCTCCAGAGTTACCATTTGCTTCAATCGTTTTCCTTTCCTGGCAGACACACTTTCATGTATTGGTAGTTTGCATTTTAGAGCTTAAGTTATATTTCAATTAACTTCATAAAAGTTACCCACAACTGTCTCCTTTACCTGCCTGCTGCTTTACTCGATCTTCATGATGCTGTTTGTTCACTAATCTTTTCTAAAAACAAACTTTAAAACAGCTTTTTTCATGATGAGATTAAATTACACACATTTAGACCCTATTTAGTAATTAGGGACGTTGTGAAGGAGTTTGTCACACTGCATTATACTACTGTATGTGTGTCGATGAATGGGCTATTTAAATTTCCCTCTGGGATCAACAAGGTCCTTGACGTTACTTTATACAAAATAATGCAAAAGAAGTAGATATAAATACTTTTTTCAGCTGTCATTTTAATATTGTATGTTACATGTCTCTGACCTGAGATTGCAAAGCCGCTGAAGCCCACAGCGAGGACCAGGAAGGTAATGGCAATAACCTTTGTGTGAGAATATCCGACAACTAGAAGGAGGGTGGCCTCCATCCCGAAACCTGAAGCAGGGAAAGAAATCTACTATTAACAAACCAGCAAACTCTTCCTTAGTGGTGCTTATGATGAACATTATCATAACATGGTGATATGACCTTCAAGATGTGCTGAAATATTAATATGCTTCTAATTCTGCATGCTGCTGCCCTTTCAATGAGTCACCAATGTTTAAAAGGTTGATGATTTTTGTTATTCGATATTCATATTACAACAGAAGATGCAAAATATTTTTCTGATCAATGCTTTGAAGTATTTCTTTAATATTGTTCTTAAATGCAGAGCTATTACTTTTCTGAACTCAGAGGAAATAAAATGATCTGTCAAACATGTAAAATATTTCACTTTCTAATTAGATAATTTAATTTGTGGTGCATATAAATTTTTTTTTCTGCTTCAGATATCACTTTTTAAACAGCAGTGGTGTTGTCTTTCATTGCAGAGCCCTCAGTTCAGCTGTTTCTTTTTCTCTTTGTTTCTTCATGCTCCCTTCAGGGCTCTCTGTGCTTCTCCACGGTTCGTTCGTTCATGTCTGATGCTCTCACCTCCGCAGTTCATCATCTTCCTGACATTAGTGGTGGACATCAGGTTGCGGGTTCTCAGGTAGTCAGCCAGTTGGCCTCCAATAGGCACGACGATTGTCATCACCAGATGGGGCAAAGCTGACACCATGCCTACCTGAAGAGAAAAAAATAATGTGGAGAGACAGTGGGTTATAAAAGTCAGCCTGTAGGCAGGGGTTAGAAATGTGGGAAAAGGGGGAGAAGTTTTCAAAATAAATTATAATGCTAATTTAGATCTTCAGATTTTCTTTTCTTCTCACTTTTCTCTTTCCTTTTTTGATAGTGTAAAGGCTTATAAGAGTCATGATGAGATAGAAAATTCAATTAAAAAAAACTTTGAAAATAGCACAGAGACATCTTCAAACTCTTTAGATCAACAGCAAATGTTCTTGCCCAGTTTAATGTATCCACTTTATTAATCCAATATTTTCATTATTGTTTGGTGTAAGCCTATTGAAAATAAAAGAACACTAAGTTAGATATATAATGTCCTTAATTTGACAGCAAAAACCCTACATTTAATAAAATTGAAATAAAATACCCAAATGATACTTTTGACACTTCATTAATACAACCAAAAGAGAAGTAAAAAGAGAGGGAACTGATGATGTTTAAAGAGTTGAGGTCTGCTTTCCACATAATGCCTGAATCCAACGCAGAAACTGATGAAAAATAAAGATTAAATGGGGTGAAACAGGAAGAGGAAGTTTTGATGATCAAACATGTAAGGAAACTGGAAATGTGGTACTGCTGGGAGAGGTTTAGATCTTTCCCACAAAACGGGATTATTCCATGATTCACATAAATAAAAAAACTGGGGAAATTTAGCGTAAAACCAAGGAGATGAAAACAGGCCTCTTTAAAATGAAACACTTTCAAACCATAGAGGAAACAACCAAACTTTAAGATCTCTAAGATCTGATTATGTTTCTAAAAATTTTAATAACTAAAAATCACCATAAAGTAAAGGATATCATTAATAATTGTCAACACAGGTGTATTATAAGTGCTGGCTCATCACGACTGGAAATCTGAAAATTCCCCTTTTCCATCCTCGAAAGGACCATCAATCAATAAAAGCAAAAATCTTATCTACTGAGAGAAGCCAGTTTCATGAAACCATTATGGATTTCACAGGACTAGAGCATGAAACTCTTCCAGTACAACTTGTGATCTCAAGAAAAATGACCATTATTCTACTGAATAAGATTTCAGTTTAATTTCTGTTAAAACATAAATTAGCAATTAAAATCCACTAGATGTGATTCTTCAATCTAAATGCTTCTTTGAAAACACAACCAGTAGAATACTTGAATTCAGAAAGTTAAATGTATTTATGTAGAAATAAAAATATTGACCTCTCTTCTTATTCATGCTCTGATGAAGATCAGTTGACAAAAACGTGAGCATATTTTCAGTCGACCTCAGATCTCAACTATTTTCCATACATACAACAAAAATAGATATTTTCATGTACTAGTACTATTACTAGTACTACTACTTAATGAATAATAACCACAAACAATGCATAAGAAAAAAAAAACTTATATGCACAATAAGATCACTTGAAGCTCATCATGCAAACCAAACCTTAGTTAAATAATGTGTATAGAAGAGCACTTTACTGGAGAAGCAAATGTAGAAAGACACAGAGGCTTTTAAACAAAAGTATATGCAATAAAATCCTCAACATTTGGTAAAAGTGTTGCAGATGGAAGTTCTTCAAAATGTTTCAGAATGATGCAAAATATGAAGAATAAAATAATTAAGTAAAATAGAGGGAGAATGTTTTCTATAAATTAAAATAAAATCAGGCAACAATCAAAGGATTAACAATGTCATTAAAAACATGTTAAAACCTTAAAAGGCATTCATTTAAGATCAGTGGTCATTCGACACATAAACACCTACTGCTGTATAAAAACCACTCTAAAGAGCATTTATTTTTATTATGTAACCTATCATCAACCTAAAGACATATATAACGGATATTATGTACTTAACAAAAAATATTGATTTTAATAAATATCTTTCCCTGTCTTTAATTATTTTGGACTTAAAATGAGCAATTAGGACATGTAGCCCAGATTTGTTTAAAACAAGTAAAATAACCTGACTTGGAGGCTTTAAAGCACATTTGGAAATAATGTTGCTGCTGGACATACAACTAAGAAAAAACAATTGTTATGCTGCAGCTATGCAACTGATGTAATATTTTGAGTGTTAACAGCACCCCAAGCATGTCTCCCATATCAGCAAACGCCAATGATTATGAGGCAATCTTAAACTCACCTTGCTTATCTCAAAGCCAAAAACTTCTTCAAAATAAGCTGGCTGGCTGATGAGCAGCAGGTAGAAAGTCCAGCTCCTGCAGAAATTTGCCACAATGATGGCGTAGACTGGCATGGAGGTGAAGAAACTTCTCCATGGGGTTTTAAATTTCTGCCATTGAAGATGGCGAAATAATTAATTGTCCATCAAATATTCACATGTGAGCTTTGTTTCAATCTGAAATATTTGTAAATGTATGATTTAATAGATTAGAATGTCACAAAGTGACGTACATGGAGTGGATTGAGAAAAGCTGCAGATTCTCCAATTGCTTCTTCAATATATTTTCTCTCCTCTGGAGTGATGGTGGGATGGACTGCAGGGCTCTCATATGACACTAGAATCCAGAACAAATACCAGAATATCCCGAAACTGCCTGGGAGAGGAAGAGATTCAGACAATGGGAGAAGCAGAGAAGAATTGTTATATTTGTTCGAAAAATAATAGAAATGCTAACTTGTTTTCAGCCGCCTTTACTCTAATACAGCAAAATAAAATCAAATGCCACCAACCAAATCATACTAAGAACTGTGTTTTTTTTCATAAACCCCGTTGCAGACAAATAAAGCCAGAATGTCCTCCAGTCAAACGAGAGCAGAATTAAATAGTTTGTCCAATGTGCAGAACATCACAGGTAGCAGAGCAACGCTGCACATCACCCTGAGCAAATCATCACCAGGAAGACACATGGTAATATCAAGCTGTTAGGATGTCTGTCTTTAGCTGGAACAAAGAAGCTAGTTAGACGTTGGAAGTCAGATGAAGCTAAAGACAGAAAGTAGAAACTATTCAAGGATACAAAACATGCAGGTAAAGGGTCGTCTTTTAGCAGGACTAAACACACATAAACTTCAACCCAATGGTTAAAATTAGTGTTGCACCGATGCCATTTTTTGGCCCCGATACCGATACCTGGCTGTGCAGCATCAGCCGATACTGATACCATACTGATACCATCTGTTTGAAATTGATGTGCTTGTATATATGAAGAACTACTACTTGGATGTAAACTAATTGCCATCATGGCTTTGTGAAGCTGCTGCCTACCTTTGTGAAGCAGGAAAAAGACTAATACAAAGTTAATCCAGTAGAAATTTTTATTGCCTACCTGGAATTGATGACAATAGTGGAAAAAATGTTTGGCTCTAAAAATGGTATCTGTATCGGCGCCCCGGTACTGGTATCGGTAATGGTGCAACACTAGTTAAAATCAAAGTCAGTTTGTGAGAATCTAAGGTTAAAATTTTGCATAGACAAAAACAACATGAATCCTTTACCTATATTCATGCTCTTCTCTGTGTTTTTCATATTAAAAATCCCCAATAATAATAAAAAAAGACTTTAAATACATTTGAAACTTAGTGCTTGTAAGGTGAAAAAAATGGAGATAACTTTTACAGCTTTTGTATAATGAGAATTAACATACTAACCATAGACATAAAATACAGAAGGCCACCCGATGTATTGCACCAGTATCCCAGCTAAGGGCATGGCTACCACTGCCCCTGCATAGGAACCTAAAAATGAAGCAAATATAAAGAAAAACAATATATTGATTACTTTTCCAACATATGTTTAATGTCGTATAATTCTCATCATGTCCACAGCCGCTCTTTCATTCCAGATACATTTTTTAGCTGCAAACTAAAAAGAAATTTGACAGCAAGAAAGTAAAAACTTTTACCACAAAAGGCTGTTGTGGCTAATCGACTTCTCTCAAGGGGAGGTGCCCACTTGGCCCAGATCCCATGACAGGCCGGGTAGGATACACCCTAAAGGACATAGAACAGTCAGAAAGTACTTGTGCATAAAGCCTAGGATGAAGATCTGTACACAGACGCATGCTGTACCTCGACAAGGCCTTGACATATCCTCACAAGTATGACGCAGCTGTAATGGCAGCGAGCTGCAGATGGGATCAGCATGTTGAGGACAGACGTGGCCACTATAGCAAAGCCAAACACTCTTAAAATACACAAAGGACAAGCAAGGTATAACAGTCAACAGCTAAAACAGCGTCACAATTAAAGATCAATATATATATAATGAACATGTAGAAGTTTATGTGTAGATTTTAGATTATCTTTAATAATATTAACCTATTAGCTGCAAACTTTTGACATATAAATCCACCCGGTATCTGTGTGACTATGTAGCCCCAGAAGAAGGAGCCATGGATCATCCCCACTGTCTCTGGGTCCCAGGTGAACTGTGCAGCCTGCAAGGAAGAATTACATCTTAGCAGTTGAAAAACAAACAATTTTTTTTCCGTTCATCTACTCTCAGGGCCTCAACTGGATCACATCACATTTGGTCTCTAAGCTTTTTGTCACACTGTTGAATTCTCAAAGCAAAAAAAGAAAAAAAGAAAAGATAATTTGTTTGTACAAAATCATCTTTTAAGCAAGTAGTTTGAGCAGCTTATTTTTTCTGTGGCTGCTTGAATTGCCTTCTAACATGCTTCCACTATGAGCACCTTGGTTTATCTGCTTTCAGCTAAAGAAACCATCGCCCTCTATGAGGAAAAAAAAATCTAAAAAAGTAATTTTAAGGCATAATGACACAGAGAGGCAAAACTGCCTTGAAGCAAAAACTTCCAGTAGTTAAACGTCAGCCAGGCTGGAGGCTTTCTAAGATGATGAAGATGATGAAAAAATATTTTCCCTCTAACAAATGTCTTATGTCTTTGGCTTTTCTTTTTACTTAATCTTTTCATCTAACTTAATCCTTTTAAAGCACCAAACAAGTTTCAATATTAGATAAACATGCCTGTGTAAATTCTCAGTCATCCGGGTTATGGCAACCAAAAAACAAAAAGTCTGGATGCCTTTGATTTAAGCCTGTTTTTTGGTTATTAGTTTAACATAATTTGAATAACAATAAGGTTCAGTTTCAAAATGGTAGATCAAGTTTTTAAAAACAAAGAAACAAACTAATCAGGAGGACTTGCTATAAAGGATTAAACCATAAAATCCTGCAGGAAAACTGTTTGGTCCTTTGGGGTCTAAACAAGTAGGATCTAAAGTACAGGAGCAACACTACTGCTGACTGGGTCAGAAAACAACACAAAAGAAAAGTTCTAGGCTGTTGTAGTCCGCTTCAGGATATAGATCAATTTTAGAAGCGGAGACACGACTTTAACCAGTCTGGTCATCAGCTATAATCCCTTCAGAGTGGTTGTACATAATGTATGCACAAACTCAACAGGAGATTTCTCGCCACTCTAACGTACACGGCCGGGTTGGTTCAGATATCTTTATTCTTTTGATTCTTGAAACCATTTAAAAATCTATTTTTTATTTCTACTTTGGTAAAAACAAAATGTCTCAATGATCTAAGAATATGATAAAACTATGATAACTGAAGAGAAACTGAAGAAGTATGTTAGTGCAATTAGCCTTTATGACACAGATGGTGGTGGTTAAATGAAACTGAACACTTACTGATTCAGAAGAAATAAAAAAATTCATGATTTAAAGTATGCTGCTGCTGAGAGTATAAACACTGTGGCTCTTTTAGGATTATCATTGATTCTGTAGTTTTCACTTAAACAATTAAGGGCGTTTTTATGTTGGTGAAAACCTCAACTATGTCTCTCATCGAGAGTCTCCAGTTGTCACAAATTTCACTTTCCCGATCAAGACTTCCTAGAGAGAGACCAAACCACACCCTGTAAAAAGAATGAGTCTAATTTGTAGTGAATTTATTGAGAATGGGTTCAGTAAACTGTGGACATGTTTGTCGAAATGTTCCATCAAGCTAAAATAAATGCTAGCTTTTTAAATGTTAAAACAGCTAGTAAAAAAATCTGATGTATATTATCTCTAATACTTCTGGATATGTAAAATATCTAGAAGTGGGTAAGCTTTTTGAAAAGTAGGGCAGTGTGAAGAGCATGTTTTCCTTTTCTAAAGATTTGCAGGTCAGATTGCATTCCAACTTGCAGTTCTCCATAATGTATCAACAACTACAGACCTGACAAAAATGGTGGATTAAAACTAAAGACAGGTCACTAAAACTGATTTTCTGGTATCAGTTTTAGCGGATATATTCATGCATTGGCAGATTAATTTGTGAATTCAGCAGTTATGTCAGATGATGCATAGCTCATGCATTCCTGTTTCCCTTCATTTGCTATCCATTTGTATTTTTAGTTTGTTTACTATCAAAGGTTTCTTTTTTGTTTAAATTGAGACTTTTTACATTTTGCTTTATCAATGTGTGATTTTTTTTATGAATGTAAATGAAGGAAAGGGAATATCGGCTCTGAGATTCCGACCCCAAAAATATCTGCAACGCACATTAGAGAACAGTTAGAGTGAGGTCAATATAATCGGTATTGGTATCTGTCTTAAAAACTGTATCAGTTGATCTCTATTCTAAACAATTTCAAAGACTGCTGTATTATCCAGAATCATCATCAATGAAAAAAAGGAACCAACGAAAGCATTTGTGTTTCTGTACAAATAAGCCACACCAAGATGCTAAACTAAAAACACTTTACAGCAAATATTTGCAAATTTTTTCCTTTAAGAAGTTTTTTCACTGCTTACCACAAGCACCTCCTTGTTGCCTTTGTAGACTGTATGGTCATTGACCATGCTGACGATAGCCACACCCAGGTTACATCGAATACCAAAAGAGATGCAGAAGCCTAGACCAGATAGGATGGCGATGATGTACCGCCTGGGGAGGCCGAAGCACGTACAGTCCACCACAGGCAGCTCCTTCTCCTCTACCAGCTCTGGGCGGCCTTCAGCTGATAGTTCAATGGTTTCTCCATTTGCCTGTCGCTTCTCAATGAGCCTAAAACAGACAAACAAACAAAAAATAATTAGGAAAAAATATCAAAAACAGTGTTTTTGAAGCATGTGGATCATTTAAAATGTGTTTCTTCTCCTTAGGGGAGAATTGTGAGAAGATTCACCAATATTCCATTTTTTCTCCTTTTGCAAATAATAATTCTCTTTGTAGTTCAAGTCCCTGAACCTTAGAAATGATTTTCTAATCCGTTTTTTAATCTCTTCTAAGAAAAACAGAACTAAAAGATCAGCTAACAGATCTTAAGATGCAACACATCATGCCTGAAGAGATGTTCTATTGTTTAAGTGATTTCTTGATTCTGCAGGACTGGCAGTAATAAGGATTGCATGTTGCTGGTTAAATCAAAGTTAAGAAATTTATAATAAATATAATACGTTTAGAATAAATATGACATTGCTAGGGAAACCTCTGTAAAAAGGTTATAAAAGTTTAATATATATTCTAAGATAATTAACCTTCATATAAACAGGTTTTATTTTATTTTTTTTCTGAACATGGTGACTTTATTTCAGAAAAATGAAGAGAGAGAAATCCAAACCTCCTAAGGGTATGCATTGCTCTTTAAATGTACAGGATTATTCTTATAAAAACATTTTTTTTTTCAACAGGAGTCAAACAGGGAAACCAGAGGAGTGACCATCTGTGTACAACAACCCGGCTAGAGTTCTTCTCCCATTAAAAGGCAAGCAGAAAAGCAGCAGATCTCTTATCTACCTGATATCAAACATAGACACCTCTGCATTTTCTATTTCATTTTGAGATTATGTTTTGCTTAATGTGTTTGTATAAATGTGTGCTTGTATGTCAGATCCTGGCTTTGCATTGTGCCAATCCAGTATTTTACTGAGAGAATCGTTCAGCTCAACATTATAACCAGGATTGTTTCTAAAGAATGAGACTGCAAACACAAAACTTCTGCAACTCCAGGAAAACTAACAGAGAGAGAGACTCTGGTTAATTATTGATATGTTTTTGAGTTGCATAAATATTTTATCCTTCCTTTTTAACACCACATTCTATCCATCCACTGGTTTTCTGTGCTTTGGATGTACGGTTGGTTTATTACACGATGTGTTTACTTTCTTAGTTATGTTTGTAGACTCTGCTCCAACCTCTTCTCTCCTTTCAAACAGCATTCTCTGTAATCTCTTTGACCTTCCATGCAAATCAGTAAATATGTACAGATTAGATATGAAAAATCAAAGAGAAAAGAGATACATAATCAGCTCCAATAGAGCAAAGATAAAAGTGAAAATATATGATTATATTTAATAAAAACAAATAGAAATGTAAAAGAATTACTTTGCAAAGCAGCATCTATTTTCTTTCTTTTTTTTGAATCTGGAAAAGATTAGTGAGGTTGCAGCCTCTCTCTCCTCATGTCGCTCTCTTAATCTGTCACCACATTCAGATTAGGATTACAAAAATGATTTACTTCCGGAAATGAATATACAGAGGCATGCAGGCAGAGGACAGGCTTTAGCATGTTCTACCTTTTGCATGACAAACGCTTTGAGGTGATGCTGACACGTGATTCTCCGCTCTCTTGACTTTTTGTGAAAATAAATTTTTTTAAAACTTAATCTCCTCTTATATCTTCATGTCCTTTGTAGTAAATAGGTTGTAGTGCAGTTGTGCACATTATTGAGTGCCTGACAGTGACAAATAAAGTGGCAATGTGATATCAAGAGTTACTAGGAGTGAATGCAAATTCTATTATATATAAAAACCCAACCAGGGACAGGAGTTGAAAATTAGCGTCAGCTATAAACTTTATGTGCAGCACTTAAGTCACTTGCTTTGTTTGCATTGTTCCTGTCAAATCGAAATGAAATTCAATGAAAATAATGAGAGGAGCTGGCAAGCTGTTTGTTTAAACCATCCAGTGGACATGTATAAACCTGCAATTCACAGTACAACACAACAAATACAACCACTGCTGCCTTTGGTTTCCCTAGGCCATGGTCCTTTTCAGCTAATCAGTCAAAGTGTTAATAAATAGCAGCATAAAATCAGGGAAGATACATTGATCAGGATGAAATATGGAGGAAAACAACCCAGAGACAGGATGGACGGATGGATGGATAAATGGATGGATGGAGACATGGATGGTACCCCTTGTGATCCGTGAGTGCATTACAAGGGGTAATGCACTAAAATAGGGCAGGGATCTACTTTGTTTTGTGAAGACCCAACAGAAAAATTAAACAAGCATTTATCAACCAAAAAGTAAGTTATTCTTATATGTTTGAGTTCACCTTCAGCTTTGACACAAATCGAAAACCAAGCAGAGGAACTGGATATAAAAAACTGCCTGGTAAAAAGTATAACTAATTAAGTCAGTCTCACTATAATTTCTGTCTTGTATTTTGTTCCCAATATATCAAGTTTTAATGTGATTATAAAGGAGTTACACAGAGGAGCTCCAGTTTTTTAAATACAGGTTTATAATAGGGTTTTATTTTGAATTTATTTTGATTCCTTACTATCTTCCAGGCAACATATTTATGTTGTTTTTTATTTAAGATGGAAAGAATAAAATGCCTAAGAATTAAATGCTCAAGTTAAAAGATTTATTAAATAGTTTTTATTTTATAATAAATTATTGCACATTCCACTTTTGGACAATCATCAATACTTTTAAGTGAGAGGGGGACTCACGGTAAGACAAAATGCTCAAAGGGGTATACAAGTGAAAAAAGGTCTGGAAACACTACTCTATCAGACCTAGATAAAACCTTAATCAATTCATTTACTGGCTTTCCAAAACTGTTTAGATATCTTTTTATTATTCAAACCCCTGCAAGCTGAGCTCACTCTACTAAATTGTTTACATTTTTAGGGTTGAGGCATTTGGCTGCTCCCAGACTGCCGTTTTCTGTGTGTTAAACAAATGTGCTGACTCGCACCCCCCCTGAATTGAGCACGAAGTGAATTTTACTTCAGAGTTAGTTGAAGCTGCAGGAGGAACCTCATTAAACATCAAAAACAGATTGCAGCTTGACATCCATACATATGCTGCTAACTAACGAGGGCAGCCCACAGCAAAAACGGTTGTTAATTACGTGTGTCTCCCACCAAGGGCCACTCTGACTCTGCCCTGTGAGTGTTTAAATGTTCCAACATAGCAGAACAGATCCAGACCTCACAGGCAGCCCACGCAAACCTTACTGCACCTGTGCAGGATTGTAAAAAAAATGGTGAGAGATAAAGAGAGAACACGTCTCCTGGGTCATTTTGCCTTTATTTGAGGCTCTATATCACAGTAGAGTTGGAAGCACCGTCGGTTGAACTTTCACTGTGCTGCTCTTGTCAGCGCAGCATAGCAAGAACCTGACTGGTCTCAGCTGGCAACAATTAATGAGCAGGAGAGCATGAGGAGGCAGAAGCACCGTGACCTCAGGCTCTCTGAAATATCATCATTAGAATAGAAACTGGCTCGGTAAAGATGATATTTTAGATCCGATTATGGACCACTGAAGTCAGAACTGAGCCTGTATGGACCTGGAAATTATGTCAAGATGCTTCACACTGATTCAATCATTAAACTATAAAATCTAAAATTCATTAATTCCCTTAAGCTCCATCTACTGAAAATCCAGAGGAACCAATCGCCTTCAGAAATAATCATATAGAGTCCAGAAATTGCAGTTTAAATCTATGTTTGCTACTGTCTCTGAGGAAGAACAGTGGTTTGAGAATATAAACACCAGCTCAACATACAGGTTAATGTATTACAAAAACAATGTAGGAATAAGTTAAGAATTCTTAAAAAAAGGTGAATTTACCCTTAATTTGAGCAGGCAAATAAGATGATCTGTCAATTGAATGACATTTCTTACTCTTAAAATAAGATAATTAGATAATATGCACTTGAAATAACACAATTTAATTGTTTTTCTTATTTTAAATGTAAATTGTCTTGTTCCATTAGCAAAGAGTCTCTCCTACTGCCTCAATTAAAAAAAAAATGACATGTTTAGATAACATTTTTTTGTAGTGTGTGACCTTTTTGGACAAGCAGATAACAGATTATCTATAATAATAATAATAATAAAACTAAAATATAATTTTCTTAAAAAGCTTTCTCTCTGCATAGAAAGAAAGCTGGTTGTTTTTTGTTTGGTTGTTGTTTGACCTGTTGATTACAACAGTGGAAGGAAAAAAACAAAGTCTAATTCTTTGTGCCATTAAAGTTAATTGAGATATCCATTTTAAAGGAAGGGAATAGAAATCCCTGAAGACAAGAAAATCATAAAATCAGCAGGATTGCTGTGTTTTTCACAACATGGTTTTGTGCTCAAAAGTTAACATTAATGACTGAAATTGAACAGATTTTTTGGTTTGCAATGATGTTGTCTGGGCCCCATTGCTCAGTGACCTATGGGTCTAACATTTGGGAATCAAATTCACCAGTTCACTATGTGCGCTCTGCATAATCTTCTCTTAGTAGGATGACAGAGATAGAGTAAGTGCAAGTGGGGGTGGAGGGGAGGTCGAAATATTATATAACAACACATGCTCTGGTCAGCTTCTGGTCACATTCGTGTAAAGAAGCTGATTCTCTGATTTCAACATTTTGTGAATTTACACCAAATAGATTTTAAAGGAATGTTCTTTGTGAAAGTGGCGTGTTTGCCCTCCCTTCTTCCTTTTATCAACCGCTCACTCTCCCTGAAGTGAACAGATTGGGTCTCGGTGGGACTGTGTCACCCAGGGAGACACCCTCCTCCCCATCCTGTCACACCGCCCCCACCTCACTGTCCTGCAGACTCACACAAACACTCCTACAACAAGAGTTCAAACACCCACACGTGTGACCTTCATAGACTTATTGTCATTATGATAAAAAAAAACAAGAACTATCAATTGTTGATGTCGCACTATGGTTAAAACACAACCACTGCAGGACAGTGCTCTAAACAATACAGAGGAGCTGCACTGATACCATGCAGTCATAAAAACATTGCAACCAAAGAAAAAACATAAATCATGCTGGGTGGATACAGCTGACTCTCAATACTGCTCATCTATGTTGCATGCATCATTTGCAAAAACCTTTTTACTTTAACACTTCCACACACATCATCACATGCAAGATTGAGCTAGTTAACTTTGTCGTAACGACTGTCACTGAAAATGAACTGTTTCATTTACTCCAAACCGGAATAAATGAAATAATTTGCACGTTTCTTCTTGCTGTTGTTTAAATATTTCATTCCGGCCACTTCGACAATGACAAGTGAAAGGTAGTAACAGACAAATGCACTCTACTCCAAGTCAAGTGGATTAAATATGGATTACCTTTTATTTTCTGCATGTAGTGAACCATAAGCTCTAAAGCAATCATGCAGATGAATACAGCTGCCAATTTTTCTTTTAGTATAGGCTTATGTTTCATCATTGTTTTCATTAGATATCAATCATTGTTTATTTTTACATTTTTGAAGTAGTTTCCTTGGCACAAGGAAATAAAATATGTATTTGTTAGCCTTTAGCTACTATATAACTTAGCATGCACTTGACCTTAGGCTGCTGGAGTTTGTGCTTACCTAATGCTGTTTAATATAGAAGCAGGAGATGCATTCTGAGGGAGGAAATGTTTAAATTATAAATGAATTTCTGGCTCCTTTTGTCAAGGGGGATCACAGTTTTTCCTGTGCTGAGGAGAGATTGGATCCAAATGGTAACACACAGCACTGGACGCTTGCAGTTGAACACATTCTGAGCCTTTATCGCTCCACAGATTCATACTTTTTTAAGGAAACGTTAAAATCTGCTTGAACCCCTTCCATAGCGTGATTCCAACAGTCCCAAAAACTTTCACTCATAAAAATCTGAAATGAGATCTATAAGCAAGTTGAGAAGATTCCTGGACTGGTTCAATAGATGGGTGATGAGGTGGATGAGGATGAGGAGACAGCGGTAGGAGGAAGTGACATGAAGCCAGGATGGAGCGAGTGGGAGGGGAGAGTTTAGGGATTTGCATGGCCCGACAGCTGGACTGAAAAACAGGCTATTTCAGGACGGGATTTGTACGTTTGGTTGCTACCTCAAATCCAGAGAGAGCGGAAGCTTAAAGCGGTGGTTATTGCATGAGGTTCTATCAGTGTCTTTAATCTCTTTTTTTTTTCTACATGAAATATTGTCAGAAGACCAGCCTGGTGCAACTCTTGAATTGATATAAACTGCTTGAATGTCTTTATGCAACTTCTCCCATATTTTCAGCAAATACCTCCAGAGTTTTTATTCAATTATAAAAATTAAAAATGTGAATTTTCTTTTAACAATTTGAAGAGGCAAACTGCAAAATTGAGAGACTGTAAAATAAGTCCTATATTCTAAAAAAAAGTCTTTTAAGAACTACTTTTATTAATAGAAATTTTTAATTCAAATACTTTTCTGGTTGCAACAGTAACACTAATTAGATATCAAAATGAAAAATTATATATCTATATTTATAATATCCATCAAAACTACCTGAAGACTACATGTTTTGTTCATCTGCCATTTTACGTTCAGCATTTTTCATATCTAATCCAGGACAATTAAGGTTTTTTTTTATTACAAACTAAGTAAATCTCTGAGGTGGTTTCCTTATAAATATACAGAGACAGTGGTTAGTCATGGTGAAAACAAATACAAAAAACAATTCTATATAGGCCTATTTTATTTCAGTTTCTTTCTTTTTCTGCCTTTCCTTTTCTGACTCTCTTTTTGTCAACAATTTTTTTATTTTGAATTTATCCATACATTTATGGATGGATGGATGGATGGATAATGGATGGATGATGGATGGATGGAGGGATAGATAAATGGATGAATGGATGGATGGATGACATCAAGGCCAGTAAAGAGCTAAATTATTATGTAACCATTATTTCCTAGGACAGATCTTACAATTACAAATATCGATTCTGTTTAAACTCTCCATATGTAAAAAAAAAAAGAAAAAAATGAAATTTGAAAAAAAGAGATTAAAAAAATAAAAAATACATATTTTTTAGTTGCTCTCCAGCGGCTGACCCATTTTCTTCATTTCTCTCATCCTTAAACTGCTGAAAGTGAAGCACAAAAATGTTCCTCTATGACTTAAAAGAAAAAATCAGCACCGCGTGTGGTACTATTAGTTATAGTTGAGTTTAATAGGTTTTTATAAATTGTAAAGTGAAATCTAACAAACACAAACATGATGGTGCGTTTTAACAGACAGCGTGCATAAAGACGTCGGTAGGAGTCCAAATCTGTGCCTGAAATAATTAAAATGAATCTTTATTGCATACCTGTGAATTTTCCCCAAGGTTTTACCCGCCACCGCCTTGAACCTGTCCGGTCGGATCTCCATCCTTGCAGCTCCTTGACCCGGCCGGTGTGCTGATGTCCTGCGCGCCCCGCTGTCCCGCCTGCACGGGCTGCGCTCCTCTTCCTCACAGTTTATCCCTCTCTCCTCCCTCCCTAACCATACCAACACTTCGGTTCTTCGGGCCAGGTGGAAGTGGCTGCAGGTAGCCTACTTTTGAAAAAAAAAAAAACGATATAATTTCTCACAAAGTACCTGAGGGTTTGAAAAATGTTGTATTTTTTTCCCTTTTCTGACCATTTCAAGAATTCATAAAAATGTGAAAAATATGTTTTTTTTGTGGAAAAAAATAACACATAAATGTATCCAAATAAAGCCAGTCATTTCTTTCTACTGAAACTAGAGTGCCAAAAAAAAAAAAAAAAAAAAAAAAAAAAAAAAAAATATATATATATATATATATATATATATATATATATATATATATATATATATATATATATATATATATATATATATATATATATATATATATATATATATATATATATATATATATATATATAGGAAAGATAAAATTAGAAATATATGAAATTATAGATACAATTAGAATGCGTGGTATTTACTCTGGTGAATAAAACGTTTCAGTAATTTAAAATGTTTATTGATTTGATTGGTAAAGACACAGATTAAACTTCTCTGTCACTTCTCTCTAATGCCAGTTAAAATGCTCTATGATACAAAAACAGGCGATCTAGCAGCACAGGTGTTGAGTTACCAAGTGAATACATTGCTTCTGTACTTAAGCTTTTTTTTGCACTACTATTTTACTCAGTATTTATTTTTCTAATTTGTTTTTATTGTTGCTTCAATTGAGGATAAATATCCGTGCTTTTTATTCCTTACTTTTTCAAAACTGGCTGATTTATTCCATACTTATTAATAATAACACAATGTAACAAGTGCAACAACACAGAGGAGGAAAAATAAGGGTTTGAAGAGAATCTGTCCTGTTTACCCAAAAACACTGAGAGCAACAAGAATGAAGGCAGGAGGCTGGAAACTTTTCAGATGATGAAATCCTCCATCCATAACCTCTTTATTAGATTTATTTAAGTTTTGTTTATTTCTAATGTAGCTTTAGTGTTGTGATTGCCAAAGCATTAAAAGTAAAGCATACAACTGTTCACGTAGGACTTCTGTTCACTTCAAACTATTTTATTAACCAGTCTAAAATTTAATTTTAGAGCAAAATATGACCATGTAAGTATTTATTATGTCTCTACCGGCACAGTAAATATCAGTGGAAAAATTACCCATTTTCTGTGAATAAGATAGTTTTTTAAAGAATGCTTTAAAAGTTATTTAGTATAATTTAACCTCTTGATGTCCATTGTTACAAATATGAAACTAACCCTTTGTATACATATATAGCCAAGATAGCATGTGCATGCCCACAGAGCCAGTTATTACACACTCAGTGTGGACATTTGCCCAGCTTTTGGTTCCATTACACCATCGGTTCTTAATGGCTACCATTCACCTTATTTTTTTTAAATAAACATAAAGTAGGTCTTTATAAGTTGGTATACACATATATATATACACACACACACACACACACACACACACACACACACACACACACACACACACACACACACACACACACACACACACACACACACACACACACACACACACATATATATATAAATATATATTTTGTGTTTTCTGTAATGTTCAGGAAATGTTCAGTCAGGCTTCTGCATCTGCTGACAGGTATGTTTGTTTAGTGAAGGAACACTGAGGAAGTCTGGGACAGTTTGTTTTCTAGAATTTGTTTTAAACAAAAATTCAAAACCAATATTTTATTTTACTAAATTATAATTTAGTTAATTATATTTAGGATTACTTTTTTTGTTTTCTGTTATTTGAATTACTAGTGTGAATTTCTCATTTTCTTTAATGGGAGGGTATGTAAACTTTCATGCACAGTTGTATATATATTTTGCCATCAAGGAGTTAAGGCAAAGACTACTGTGGAGTAAAAAATGTTGAGGTATGTCTGTTCTTAGCCTCACAGGCTCCAAACGAAGGTCATGAGAGAATAAGTTACAGTACACAGCCTCCTTCATGGCATGAAGGGGAGGACTGTTGTTTTGAGAATCTGGCCATTGAAAGATATACAAATATATAAAGATGTATTAACCTAACAGGGAATTTCCCTGATGAACTCAAGGTGTTTTGCCTCAATGTTCAAGTGTGAGAAAGTTCTTTATGCAGAGGGTGGGTTGGTTCCCCTGGGGGGAGTGTGTGTGTGTTGGGAAATTGTATGATATAAATGTAAGTGCTGAGGATGCACCAGTCAGAGCCCTATCTCTCCGTCTGAGGATGTTAAATAAATCTGAACCTTATTTCTTGCAGGAAATGCTGCTGTCTCATCTTCCCAACTCCACACTACATTTTAACTTTGTACTCAAGTATAACGTAAAACCTGTACTTTTTTACTTTCACGTAAATAAAGGAGTTTTTTCTTTTATCAGAATTTTTTTTTTTAAACACAGTTATCCGTACTTCAGTAAAGAATTGAATACTTTTGATGAATCAAGACATAGTCAGGAAGTGATCTTAGGGAAGGCTTAAAGAGCTCTGAGCAAATTGCTTCTTACCTTTAAAAAGAGGGAAAACCCTCAAGCATCTGAATAGCTTCACTGGTCTGTTTTTTAAAGCCACAGAGATGTTCAGTTTTCAATTCCTAATGTCTCATTTGCATCATGGGGGGAGAAACACTTAAACTTCTGTAGCAAATTTGTAAACTCTGCTGCTGTTTTTTTCCTGAATTAATCACCATCAATTATCTTTCAAGGTCTTTTTTTTTTAACCATTTTTTTCACAAAGCAAATATAATTTATCTTTATTTAGATTGTTTGATGGTTAACATATTTTTTTATGATGGCAATATGCTTAATCTGAGAATACTGCATAAGGACAGATAATGCTGCCAGCTGAAACAATCCACCTTCCATTCATTTTCCATGTGAAAATACTTATTTTATTTGCTAAATCAAGGGATTCATTTTAAACTATCTGCTCATGCAGGTTATAGATGCTTGTTAAGAAGCAATGCAATTGATACCAGCTACCCAATTTTGGACAAAAACATACAAAAAGAAAACTGCAGGTAAAAGACATTAACTTAAGAATGCATGATTAGAAAAAAAAAATCAGGCTAGACTAATGCATTTCAGAGATTTAGTTAAGTTGCCATTTTGCACAGCACACCACAGATATATGAACGCATAACATGATCTTCTGATGTAAAATCCACAATAAAAACCCCAAATAGTCTTACTGTCACATTATCTTTATTTCAAAACCAAACCGGTTCAGAACAGAGGCACTCAAATCACCCATGTCCCACAGGTAAATAAAACATAGAGGTGAAAGAAGATAAAGAAAATAAAATGGAATCAACTTAATGCTGAAGAAGATAGCTCCCCTTTCATTTTTATTTCTGAAACAAATAGCCACACATGTGTATTTATACAAATGAGTCTGAAGAGAGTGGAACAATAGAATGGAGAAATATGTTGTTTTAATAGCTTTTAAGGAAAAACAACTAATGATATATTGAACAAAAATATTGACCGAAAAGTAAGAAGTTACTTGAAAAACCTCGCATATATTTATTTAAAAAAAGAGAAGTAGAACTGTGGTACTCACAGAAAACTGGGTACCAGAGGATTAGGAAGGAAAAAAAGGAAGCATAGGGGCCAATTCCCTTTAAAAGACAGTGAGAGATCGATAAGATCTAGAACAAACTGAATAAGTTAACATCTGTCTGCTAATTTTTCTTTTCAAATCATCCTACTCAGTAGCATGTTTCATTTGATCTGAGTATGTTGCTTTTATTGACTGTACAGTATTATTTCTTCTGTTGTAAACGTTTGGCTTGCTGCTGAAAACATTTGAAATTACTTAAAGTCAGACACAAAAAAAATCTTTCTAATCTATTTTTGGTTTAAAATGGCTTATTTCCTCATCATTGCATAATTCAATACTGATCCGTTAATTTTTTCTTTAATTACTTACCATTTAGGTATGTTTTTGCCATAATTTCAACCTTTAAAATTAAGAATATCTATTTCATTTCTCTCATACTCAGTTCACAACAAAGTAAAACAAATGACTTTAGTTATTTATATCTTTTGAAATGGGTTGAACTTGTGGTTTCTTTGTTGGTCATCTTGATTACGTATTACCCAGCAAACAACACTCCACAGTAACAAACAGGACAGTGTGGTGTAGAAACAAGCAGCCAACCCTAAAATGTGTGAAACAACAAAAGATAAAAGCTCCCCTAAGAGAAATAATGAGTCAACCCTAAAATAAGACAAATAAAAGCAAAGACAGGATGGTGCCTGATATGTTGTCCTGTGAAGACATTAGAATGCTAAGCTCCATCTTTCAGTTGCTCCAATTTCATATCACTGATCACAAAAACGCGCACATTCACACCACTTTTACACGCAGACATGCAAATACATCACAGTTTCTTAAAAGTATAGTTGCTTTGGCAAATTAAATCTTATCTAAAAACATCCTCCTCTTAGCGGACTGGTGGCCTGATTCATCACCAGCCGCTTAGTTATGAAGGTAGTACAACCAGTTGCATGTCCCTTTTCAGGTAGCTTATGCAAAGTTCAGAAAGTGGAGGTAGGAAGCCAAACAGAGGAGTTGGATTTGATATAAATACTTCAACGATTTAGGCTTATTAACACTAGTGTTGGGGAATATTATGATGCAAACCAGGATAATTGCTCTGATAAAAAATGAAAAATAAAAAATGCTGTAACTGACTGTTTTCACTTTAGTCTATACTGTTGTTTTCTTTCCCTCCTCTTGCTTTTCCTCATCACAGTTCAAATCTTTATCGGCCCAAATATCATCCTCAGACCCCTGTGTCTTGCTCCTCTTCCTCTCCCTCTTCCCCCTCCTCCTCCTGCTGAGGCAAGAGCCTGTATTGCTCATTGCCCACCAGCAGAAAGGAAGTCCTGGGAGGAACCCCATCTTCTTCACAGGAGACCGGATGAGAGTTGGAGTCCAGCTGATCGTTGGAGTTGCATTTGGTATA